TGGGGTGTTATTATAGTGATTTCTATGTTCACTGACGGTCCTGTCTCATTTCATTCTGGATGGGGTGTTTTTATAGTTATGTCTTTATTCACTGACGGTCCTGTCTCATTTCATTCTGGGTGGGGTGTTGACATAGTGATATATATGTTCATTGATGGTCCTGTCTCATTTCATTGTGGGTGGGGTGTTATAATAGTGATATATACAATGTATGTTCACTGATAATCCCATCCTATTTTGTTCTGTTATTTTTAATCAACATCTCATCATGAGAATTTCAAAATAGATTTGGTTCATGTGATTTATCAAAGCAGTGATCAGTCAAGGTTAAAGGTCAAAGATCACATGTATGACAATTTCTGCAAAGTCATCAAATAGTTATTACTTACTTTGGAGTGAGAAGGGAATTCATGTCTTACTGACATTTTACAGTTTTTATTAAATTTTTCAAAACCGCAAATTTCATTTCTCTCTTTCTTTTTTTTTAAAGATTTTTTTTTCAAAGTCATTTCATTTTAGAATTGGGGCTTGTCAAGTATTAATTCTACAAATGTACTCTGGACCAAGTCAACCCAATATTTGGATGTGTTTCTTCAAGGGAGGTCGAAGGTTATATCACTTACTGATTCAATATGAATTGTGTCAGATCTTTCTGAATGAAATAGATAAAACTTCGACTCAAAGGCAATGTCACTCTATTCTGACAGCAAACTATGTATAATGTTATTGACATAATGATTCTAGGATAAGGGGGCTAGGCCTCCAGCTTTTTGATGTCAGAAGCATGTAAACTGTTTCTTTTCCCTCCATCTCAGATTCTCAATACACCATAGAAAAGGGTCAACAACTTGAGGCAACTTCTTATACCAAAAGAAGCAGTAAATGTCCTCAAATTTTGATGAGAATAAATTATTGAAAGCAAACTGTAACATACACATACTTATTTTGATGTATTAAAATGTAAGCGCGATGTTAAGAAATAGGTGCAACAATTGATTCGGGTTTTCACAATGATTGCTATATTGACAACTTACAAAGGCTGCAATTAATGAAATCATATCTTGGTGCTTAAGTAACCACGTAAGATGTAGATTTATATTGTTATGTATTTAGAGTGTTTATAGTACTTCAATATTTATTTTTAACATGAAAAATAAGATCGGGGTTTTAATGTATATCTTCAATTATTTTAGAATTCATAAAAGATGATTTTGTTGACTGTATCTAAGCTCTCCCATATAACTACATTTAATGCAGTTCAGTGGAAATGTTGTCAAATCCTTTTTCATTTTCATTCATGAACCAATCTCCATTACATTGGAGTCAGAATCGTTGGTTTTGCTATACTTGAAAATTCCTTGAAAAAAAGAAAGTTTGTTTGCAATGTTTTCTCTTCTATATTTACTTAAAATTTTCAAGTTTCTTTTGAGATTAGAATTGTAAATACATGAAAATGCTGGAAATCTGGTTCTTTTCTTGGATATCTGATTTTGTGGACATTTACTACAATGAGTCCTCTTCTCCAACAACACAACAGTTTAGCTAATGTGTTGTGTCAAGTATTAGTGGAAGATGTCAAGATGGTTATGGTAGTTATAAGACTACATCTCTCCCACACTTCCACACCCATGATAAATTCCCCTAGTCTCCCCAACCTCAGGAAATCATTGCTTTCCGATATCTTGGTGCCATTTTAACCTAAAACCATTTCCTTGTGTGATAAAGTGAGGTAGCAGGCTAATGATATATGGATACAGTGAAACATCAGGTCTGGTTAATAATGGTCAGCACAATTCTTATTCTGGGTGTAATTCATTTTTACAAACTTTCTTAAACCAACAGATATGGATGTGAACAGAACTTCTCAAATTTGCTACACAGAAATTAATACAAATAATTAAAAAGGAAAAGGAAATGGAAAGAAAGCTGACAAAATTTCCAAAGAGAAGTTAAGGGGATGGGGGTGGGGGATAGGGGTGGGGGGATGGGGGGGGGGGGGGGGGGGGGGAGTTCAAGTGTTTAGAAGGAATTTAGGCCCATAAGTAATTGTTATGTTTTTCCAGGTCAAGAAATAAATTCTCGAACTTATTGTCTTTAAAGTATTTTAATAAAAACCTGGAAAATGTGAATATTTCAGAAAGTGTTGAATATTATTTATAAACCATAATATTTTTTTAGTTACTTTAAGAGTACTGGAAATAAAACCTAGACATGCTGGGTTCAAGGAGAAAGATATATATTTAAACAGCAAATGTCGGAGTTAGTTATGGCTAGTGGATGGAAAACAAGACTATGGGTTGTGTTTTAAAATATAGTCAAGGTGATGACCATTAGCACCAAAATGAAGGCATATATTTTTAGCTGAAAAAGATAAACAGGAAGCCAGGATCAGGATAGAAATAACTCCATGGAGGTAAAACTGCGGGTAATAGCACAGGGGTTAATAGGCTGAATATGTAATCTCATACATTAACGGATTTTAAAAACATCAATAAATTAACAAATTGGACAAAAAATCACCTGTAGAACCTTTTTAAATTTTGTTTGCATTTTTGTTTAGTAAGAATCTGTTAGGAATATCACTTTTTTAGACTTAGTTTTACTTAGTAAAGCTTGCCGGTAGGAGAGTGGTCCTACTCGCCAGACTTCAGGGCCATGTGGGTGAGAGTTGGCAGATCTAGGTTGTACATTATGTTGACTGACTTTCTGGCTATAGAGCTGAGGCTGCAAATTAACACACCTCTTTCACCTGTTGTTTCCATAACAACACCGTCATTGTAATATTCTACCTATGTAGAGAGCGATAAATAGGATGTTTTTATTAAGCATGCTAGATCGATTCAAGGTTTTATATTGTGGAAAGTGAATTCAGTTACAAATGATAGAAGGCATGCTGTGTAGAGACATGACTTCTATACCATGATGACAACCTTTGGGATATATAATGGATAACTACATTGTACCTTCTGAAATATGTAGTGAATCGTCATAATTTGTGATACATGTGAGACTGATTGAATGGCATCTGTTGCATTATTCCAATGCAACAACTCCTGGGAACTACATATACAAACTCCAAGCATTGTCCATTCAGTCGATCTGAATTCGCATATGGTCATTGATTTCTCTCCTACAAATACATAATTGATATCGGTAATGAGGTAGAATAAAACAATACTGGATATTTGGAGAAAGTGGGGAATATGTACAATTAATCTGGGCTCACAGCTAGCAATCGCTGCTATTTTATAATGTGCTGTTACAGACATGAAATGGATGATACTGCGGAAGTTTCTATTTGTCAAGGTATTTATTTTTGGGGGACAGGTTGGTTGGAGATTTTAGGGGTAGAGGTCTGCAATCTTTTTTACAGTATATTCTCCTCTTTGCAAATATTATATTTAACATATATCACATATTTGTAAAGAGAGTACAATTTCTTTTAATACTTTCTGTTTGATAAATTCAGATGAAAACTGACATCTGAAATTTTCATGTTTGTGTTCGAGAAATGATATCAATGAAACAGTTAAGGCATCAGCTACCTTAAGAGTTGTCACTTGATATTAAAATGCCAGGGCTGAAGGGCAAAATTTAAAATCCCAATTGAATTTTAAGCTGTCTCAGATGATCTATCTGGGGGGAAACTGTAACAGAGTTGAAATCTTAAAAAAAATTCAGACATGTTTCTCTCTGTTTACCAATATATACAGTAGAAGTTTTAACATGTCAGAAATGAAACATGCTGTATGATATACATGATTCAAATGAAAATGAAGTCTTATTAAAAAAGAACTGGGTTTACAGTGATTCAATCTGGTATACACATTGCGAAGAAAATTGTACGACGAAAATTGTACGACGTTTTGCGTTTATTTTTATGGGATAGTGTAACCGTCTGAAAGCCTGGTCAGGTGTTTGTACAGAGAATTTGTGTGTGTAGATTTCAGATTAGGAAACGGTGTGAGAGATTAGTGAGGTAGTATACCATTGTTACTGTAGTCGCAGGTCTGTAGGATCCCGGAGAAACTTGTATAACAGTCTGCGTTCTCTCCAGTTTTGGCGGAAAGAAATGTATCGAGATTTGTTGACAATTAATCAAACATAAATAAATTCCATTTCAATGTGTATGTTGGTCTACACATAGACATGATGAAAGATTTTAAATACCTGACATCCTTCCACAGAATTGTGTGTGTAAATAGATATAAGATTAAGTTTTAAGTGTAGAAATATTCCCCCTGTTTACTTTAGCCTCGTTAAAGAGTATTACAACTTGACTACAAAGGGATGGGTTTTTGTGATGGACAAACTCTCCAGCTTTTTAGAGGTGACAAATTTAAAAAGTATTTTAACTAAAAAGAGATGGCCAATCCCAAAATTGAATTTAATAAGGTTGGTTAAATTGTTAGATAAATTAAAAAATTTTAGTTACTCTTTATAAAGACTCGTTTAAGATGGCTTTGATTGAGCACCCAGTGTAATTCATTTAGTATTTTCTCATTTTCTTATGTTCAGTGGTATTTTTGATCATGTATAAACCAAACCTATACAAAAATACACTCTAGTCTGTTATGGATTTACTGTGTATTTCCCCTTCAAAAGTCCATAAAGGGTTTCAATTGTTTCAACTTGGCTTATGCTGATTGAACCCTTTAAGCTAAAGGGAAGTCCTATAACAGAATGTGATACTATGGCCAGTATTTATAAGAGTTACAAACCTATCGTAATAACAAGATATGGACTTCTTCTCAAATAAATTCAAATACTTCCCATTCATGTTAGATTTAAGTGAATTGTCCCTCCAACATTTTCCTTGATCGCAGCTCAGATGTTGCTCCAACAATGGCAATATAATTAATCAAATAAACTAATTAAAACTTTTCCACTTTTAACACTTCAAAAATTTTTCTTTTTGCGCAGCATTAACATGACATTCAGCTTTTGGTGATTTTTCATGGGGATTGACTTTTCATAACTATTTCTCTTCTGTTTTGTAGAATGGCTAACTATGGCGAGATCAACGAACAGAGCAAGCTTAAAAGAAAAACTTCAAGAAGAATTTCTGTCGTGCAAAATTTGCCTGGAGCCTTTTATTAAGCCCAAGGCTTTGCCCTGTTTGCATAGTTTCTGTGAGCACTGCTTAAGGGACTATGTTCGCCGGCACCCAGGAGAGAAGCCGGGACACTTTCCCTGCCCCATGTGCCGTAAGGACACACCTATACCTCTTGGAGGAATTTGTGACTTTCAGGACAACTTCTTGTTGTTGAGTTTGTCAGATACACTTGATGAAGAAAACAATGACGACAATACTGAACACTGGAATAACATCACTAATTCGCCATCAAGTGGATTTTTAAGTGTTAACCAGAACCACCAGGTGTCGCCACCAAGGACATTAGCGCCACCTACCCCACAAGAAACATTTCTAAGGGGACTAGAGTAAGTATGCATTGTCGACTCTCATGTGATCATGATGTTGATATACGCAGTGTACAATGTCTTAACTAATCAAGAATGAAATTGAGTAATGAATGTTTCTCAAAGAGAAGCGACATTTCACATGAATGTAGCATATATACAGGTAGGTTCCAAGTGCATGGACAACATCAATTGGGAAAGAAAGATAATCAGAGGTTTAGACAATTTTGATTTGAAAATTTGAAATCTCGTAACATACAGTTTTATAATGCACAATTGACAAGGTGAAGTTGTTTCTCTGTACCCTATGTTGTATACATATTGATACCAGTCGACTTGGTCAAGGGAAATAGAGATTGTGATTACACAAAGCACAAGAAGAGTTTTCAATGCGATCAAAGTGACCAAAATCATGAGACTTTCAGACCAATAAATTTATATCTTTAAAATGTATCTGAACCAAATTTGATTCTAATTGTTTGAATTAAACTGTTCTTCTATAGATAGGAAAAAAAAAAAAAAAAAGCGAAAAAAAAAACACTAAGGCTGGTAACATTGGGTTATACAAAACCATTTATAATATCTGGGCAAGTTTTACATTAATTTTGTTCTTGAAAAGCAAATTAGAGGATGAAAAATTGAAATTGTGGTAAGTATGATGAATGACCTGTAATCAATAGTTCAGGTAGTCTTGTATTATTGCTGGTAAATGTTAGGTTAAATTGCTCTTTTACTCGAACAGTACAGTTTTTGTTGTCTGAAGGCTGTTTGGGAAATTGTCCTGGTAACAGTCGAAAGATGTAGAATTCAATTTTCAAGCAGTTGTGGTTATTTTCTGTTGTTGGTCTATACTTATGTGTCAAGGTGCTTCTAATACAGATTGATTGGTCTAGCATCTTTTGGGAAGTTCTGTGCCAGAAGAATCTATTTCCTCACCATTCTAACTTATTTACTAAGGTCCATTACCAACTTCTACAACAGCAGCCATTGTCAGCATCAACATCAACAATGAACTGTTAGAAAGTGGCTGAAAGTTGAAATCAGTCTAAGTTACTTGAGAGTATTGAATCGAAAGGTTAAAGTTCAACATGTTTTATGGAAACCATTTTTCTGTGCTTTGTATCGAAACATTTTTTGTGAAGTTTAATAAAAAACAACTAAATTATTCTGTAAAATGTTTTAGTTAAAACACAGCACTAATTAAAGGGTAGCCATGTGCCATGTTTTGAATCATTTGAATAATTTGATGAAGTCCTCATCAGACAGTTAATATTCATGTATGAAAGAAAAATAAGAAGCAGTGAATAGTGAGATAGGTCTGCTCTCACCACAAACACAGGCTAATAATAATACATAGTATGGTTACTGATGTTATTTATATTGTATCCTGTGAAAATTCTGTAAATTTCTGTCAATGCTCCGGAAAAAATGCAAGAAACTTTCAGCTCATATGATATTTTGCTCTAAACTGGAACTAAACGATTTTAAAAGCTTTTATAAGATTCTTTATCAAAATCACTGAAGGAAAATAAAAACCAACAAAAATGAAGTGATTTGCAGTATATAAGTTTATAAGGGCCTCCTCTCTATTTTATGTGTCTTCCATTTAATTTCCTTCTGAGAAATCTTCATGTCAAAATGGAGTGTTTCTAAACCCCTATGTACTACCTGGATTCAGTGATAACAATCTCCATTAAATTCTTAGTAGAGATGATAAGGTAAAGAAAAGATGGGTTGGGAGGCTGTGTGATATTGAAAGCACAGGTGGTAATTTGTATTTTAACTTAAAAAGCCAAGGGTGTTTGATAGCAAACTCTGCACTTAAGTTTTATATGGTCAGCAACGTACCCAGAACTGGTAAAAAATGGTGGATGTGAGATAAAATTCTTTGTTCACAGAGAATTCCACTTTGTATTTTTGTTTTCATTATTAGTTTATAACTGTTTGTGTTTTGACTCTCGGCGTATCTGTCCAGATCTTCACTTTTGTAAAATGATTGTTGCACAGTGGCAACATTTACTATAAAGAAATCACCACATACAGCCTTAATGAAAAACATTTCTGTACATTGTGGACTTATTTTTTGTGAAGTTAAAAAGATAATTATGATTATACGTTGGAAATCTGTAATGTATCAATAGTATAAAAATGATTTTACAACAACCGTGAAACAAGTTATTTGGAATTATGTTAATCACTTTTGTTGGTCTGGATGGATGCCCGTGAGAGGTATGGTGTCTCTGTGGAATGAAATCAGAGTAACAGGGGAAAGCGCACATGGTTGAGCAGGTGACCATCATACCTTTTCATACCTGTTTGTTGACACCGAGGTGAAAAGCGAGTGCATTTCTACCAGACCCCAGACTGCCTAGATAATAACAATTTACTGTTCTAGCCCTTTTGTATTGATAGATTTTAATCCATTTTCTTTGAGTATTTCATTTTATTTACATTACTGTATTAGGTATGGCCGCCCATGTTTACACTTTCAGTGTCAGTTTATGTGTGACATTTAGGGATCGTTTTAAATGGAATGAAAAAATACTATACACATGCTTTTCCTTCTGAGTAAGTAGGAAATGAACTTGTACAGATTCATGTTCATGGCTAATTTCTTTGTGGTTTTGATCTGTCGCTGAGGATGTAGTGATAATTCTGAGTGGAGACGACTTGATCAGGGTGTCTCCCGGCAAAATCTTTGATGAATCAAGTCTCATTAGGTGATGGGGGTATTTGGGACTTACATTTCCAGATGTTAAAAAGCTTAAGGCAACTTTCAACCTTGAACAAAATATGTCAATAAGAAAAATCTAAATTTATAAGTGATTAAACATTTCAGATTTTGATGTTTTATTTTTCTAATGAAAGTTTGGATGTAGAATATTTACACTTTAACGGTAATTTGTGGATGGATTACTGATGAAGAGAAGTGAAAATTTTCTTTCTCAAGATAACAAGACTGAACATGAAAAGGTTGGGTGCAAATACTAGCTACAGTTCAACTACACTGTAATTGGTAGTATAGGGATTGTGGGGAGGAGAAATATCTGGTCTGTATGCACTCAATTACTCTATAGAAGGAGGTATAATACTACTATATAGTGTTACTACTAATAAACTTTCCTCCATGCTGTACTTAGGGAGAGTTGTTCCAGTCAAATTCCTGTCATTCTTCTGTTCCCATTCATCATATCATGTAGTATGAATAAATGTATGTATGTTTAAAAAACTCACTGTTGGTTGTCTTGGCTGGGTACAAACATAAACTGGAGACAACTTGTTCTAGTCATAGCAATAAATGGGGGAAAACTTGACAAAGCACTTTTGGAGATATTTTGCTTAATCTTTTTGATGGATATTGAGTATAGAAGAAAGCAACACAGCAGACATTTTGTTTTAGTATTTTGTCTATGTTTACTGCTTGTGAGATTAATACTTTCAATTGGAGAGGGTATATCGTCCATCTTGACATTGAATATGGCCTTGAACATTCTTTAAGGGAAAATTCAGTGTCAAACCAAAAAAACTGAAAAAAATGTTTTACGCTTGTTTTTATTATAAATGCATTGAACAACTTAATAACTAGGTGGAAAATATTTAAAAGTTTGATTTTTCTGCTGTCTCTCATCAAACTTTCATCATTTATTACTCAATGTTAAATGTTTAACAGTCAGGTTTTTCTGCAGTTTCTCAGCAAAATTGAATTCATGACCCTTGATTAATGTAAGCTTACTTAATTCAACAGGATAAGGTTTTAGTGTATTGTCTTTTTGTTTTTGCAAATAAGTTTAATGGTGAATTAATAACATTCAGAAACTTGAGTTAGCAGTATCATAATTCAATGTAATACACTCAGTGCAAAAGTCAGAGTAAAAGGACTAAGATAAGATTACTGATAAAACATGTACATTTACATAGGAGTACCTGCAAAATCTTCCCTTTACACCTAGAATAGTGTATTGCAAAAAACTTTACAGCCAGAACATTATATTCTTAATGAAAAATCATCATACATAGGTGATTAATTACTTGAACTTTTTTTTTGAAAATCACACATTTGTGATTCAATGTTGGTAACTTTTACTGTTTCTCTTACAGTTGGTATTTTGGTAAAGTTAGTCGACATGCTTCTGAGGATTGGCTTCTCTCCCCGGGATACCCTAAAGGAACATTCCTTGTCAGACAAGGCGAGGCTGCCCCTGGTGAGTTATCTCCCTTGACCAGTAGGTTTCATCATAATATATACATGAATTTTACAGTTGTAATAACTATTAATAAAAATGGCAATATAAACAGTCCATTATCAGTGCATATATTCTAGATTCCATTTATAATAAACATGACATCTCAAGATAATTTTTGATGGCTGTGTTTTACAGTTTCAATATCCCTATTTTTGTAGTGACTTACTTCTAGTAAGTACATTTTTGTATAGCCTCTCAGTTTTGTGTATGATACAGTAGATTCATTGTTTAAACATGTTTTGTTGATGTTTTTGCAGACACCTTTACTCTTTCTGTACGTGACTGTGATGAACTGCGTGGCTATTTAGTGAAACATTACAAAATCTACACCCAGAGGTCTAATGATATACGGGGCGAGGATTATTACTTTATTACTCCCAAGAGGATGTTTAGTTCACTGAGTGACCTTGTTAGTCATTACTCAGGTGAGTTGCTTCTCTCGTTTTTTGGTTTTCAGATCTAAGAATTAGACAAGACTTGTTTACCCCCATTTGAAAGTTAACACTTTGTCCTTGTTAACTTTCTGTATTCTATTAGAGAACTGTAAGTTTGGAAAATATGTATATGCCTCACACTTAGTTTCAATTATATGTCTTTTCCGAACTCTGGGAGTGGCATATTTGTCTATGCTTTATACTCAACTTGTCAATTCTACTGTACTAGAGAGTTTCGAATATTTAGGTATGCCTGACACACAGTCCTGTAAAAGTTGTGAATTTTACTAGAGAGCTGTAGGTTTAGAATACATGCCTGTGACCAATTTTTGCTACATATTTATTGTCATTATTTTTGAGACAAATCAAGGTTGGATTACTAATGGAACAATTACTGGAACCTCCAAGTTTTCACCGAATATTCCTCATTTCTCTATAGATAACAGCCCAGGTGCTTCTATCTACATGTACAAGGGTCTTTATTATTGTAAAATTATACCTTACACTTCAAATGTATAAAATCTTATGTTACGAAACTTTATTTAATGAATTCCACATTTACCATATCATATATCTGTTTTATGAGAAACAGAATTCTGTGTATTGTGAATTCTTGTACATTATACATAGTTTATTGAGCAATAGAACTTCTTATGATATGGATATGATGAGAAAGGAAATCATGCACATTAAAAAAAATTCATGGACATTTGATTCAGTGGAAAAATATAACCCAATATCTCTATTATATCAAGGACATATGAAATAGGGGAGTAAACGGACGAAAATGAATCCCTTACAAAACGATGGATTTTACAGTATTTACTGTGACAGAAATTTTGCTAAAAAAATTTCTCGCCAGGAGACAAAAGTTATTGTAATTGTAGTTAAATCTTGCTATGGTGAGTTGGAGAAGAGAAATTTATGACCATAAGATCATACTGGTTTGAAAAATGGATTAGATACCTATGATACAAATGCTTTCAAGTAAAATCTCATAACTGTTTTGTTAATATTTGAGAAATAGAATAACAAACTTCTGATGTTAGTGTGATAAATAGAATCAATACTTCTTCAGTGAGAATTTTGAATGGAATAACAATACCAATACAGAAAAGAGAAATTGAATCTTGTACTCCTTGTCTGAGAATCAGAATTTGAGGACTGTGAGAAAGCTAAGTGATCTCAGTTATTTCACATAACAGATGTGAATTTTTGAAAGAAAGTCAAAAAGTTCTTTCATATTGATGACTTCAAAACCAGTGCAATAGTTTCGTTTTTGTTATCCATTCGTCAGTTCCTTTAATTCTTTTGATTTTGTTAAATAACCTGGTTTGTGTACCATGTCTTCTAAATAAAAACTAACACATCTTGCTATTCAGAATACATTAAGAACAGTTTTTAATTTCTTTTTTTGACTTTGTAGTCAATTTTCTTCAAGGTGAATATGATAGGCAAAGTTATGGGTTTCTGTGAGTAATGTTAAAACGTTTTAGTTCTGTTTTGATGTTTGATAGTGAGTGTTGATGCCATGTTTCATCAGATAACTGGAGTGTAACAATGGGAACCCTACAGGTGCTCTTTTGTGTTCCGAAATCACTTCCTGTTCATAATTGGAGTTTTGAAATCTAATTTAGAATCTGCATGCCATTTATATTAAAAATGACGGAAACGCCATAATTAATTGCATTTTAGATTTTTCGGTTAGAATGATAAAACATGTTGGATATTGACCGCGTGAGCTAGTCACATATTTCAGTTGAACAGAAAACAGTGTAGTATGAACTCCAATACATCTGGTCCTGGTGAAATACAATTACACTAGTTAAAACAGATGTTGTGGATTGAATTTTGATGTCTTTGTACGAATTACATTTAACATTATGTTTTATCAGTTATAAGGTGCTGCAGTGTTTGGATGAATTTACCTTTAAATGTGCCTCTGAGCTTTAATGGTGTCAGTACTCAAAGGTTTTTAGAAACTATAGAATACAACACATATGTTTCAGTCTAGAAAACACTGAGGCATGCATTCATGATAATAGAGCTTCATGCTAACGGGTAAAAAGTTGAATACAAATTTAAGAAAATGGGATGGGATTTCATTACTTTTTTACGTTTTTATTTTATTATTATTATTATTTAGCCCGCAAATTAAAGAAAAAGGGGGAAAAATGTCACCCTTGTTTGTATCTTTTTCACATAGACATATTTGATTATGATAATAATAAGGAAGATAGACCACATCAATCTTCAGGACAATCAGATAATAGATAAATACTTTTTGTAAAGAAAATAGAAGAAAATATTTGAAATATATCTAGGGTAACGCCCATATAATGGTGTATGATATCCTGGTATTGTATCCAGGAAACAGGGAGGAAGGTTTGCTTAGCCTTGTACAGGAAGTCGTAGACATATTATATATACAAATGTTCAGAAGTATAGCTCCCAGGCCGCTATTTTTACCTGAGTCATTGGCACCTTCCCAATGTACATTTCATTCAAGGTGCGGCAGCAGATTTGTAAAATTTGTGTTTTGTTTGTCTGTTTTCTAGACTCAGCAGATGGGTTATGTTGTAAGCTAGCTCAAACCTGCATTAAACCCAGATCACTCCTGTGGGCCTTCGAAAGAGGAAAACAAGATGACTATGCTACTGCACGAGAATCAATTTTACTGATAAAAAAACTAGGAAGTGGCCAGTTTGGAGAAGTATGGTTAGGTTGGTATATCTATCATATCTTTTCAGAGGAATAAGGCAATGAAACGTGTAAATATCCAATTTTATTTCAGCCATTTGACTAGTTCATGGAATGCATATAACCTAGTAGCTGTCATATTTGTGATTGAGTGAGAAGAGTGTTAAAAACTTAATTACTCTCCTTGGGATGAAAATAAACCAATTCAAGTATGGTTGGTTAGTGTGTTTATATCAGATGGTCTGCATGAATAGTGAAAATAATTTAAAATATTGCTACATTGCTGATATGTTTAAGCCTGATAGGCAATCTTATCCTCAATGTCACAAAACCATCACTTTACTTCGAAGTTTTCTGCATAGATTCAACTTCAGAATTAATGTTTCAACTGAGGGCAATGTTTAGATCACTTAATAACACCTTTGTTTGCTTATTATTTCTGTTTTATTTGAAAAAGTTAAAAAAAATAAAACACCAATATTATGATTATGGCAGGTACATGGCACAGCAGTCGACAGGTGGCAATTAAGATGCAGAAAAAGGATGCTGTTTCCACGGCAGCCTTTCTGGACGAGGGGCAGATCCTCAAGACGCTTGAGCACCCTAATATCATTAAACTTCTAGGAATCTCAAATGAGGCAGAGCCTATATACCTTATCACAGAATACATGTTGAATGGCCGCCTGTCCATGCACCTACGTGAAGGACAAGGTCGTGACCTTGGGGTCACACAGCTTCTGTGGATAGCCACACAGGTATGTAAATTAAATTCTGTATTTCTATGAATTGACGTTTATTTATAAGCAACCCTTTACTTAAGTGTCAGCTGATATGTATGAATTCCTTAAAGAAGTTATTGGCATTCATTTCGTCGTGTAAGGCGAAGTTCACAAGTAGGATGATAGGGTCAAGGTAACATTTTCAGGTCATGCAATATATTGATTTTTTGAATTAGAAAAGAGGAAAACAAAAAAAGAATGGTCAGTTATTTGGTTTTAAAGTTTTTGATTGTAAAATGATACTGGAATTTTGGCACAAAATATTGAAAAGGAAAGAAGACATCTGTCAAATATTGAACATTTTTGTGAGGAGAATAATCGAGGAACTTTCTCATTACACTATGATAAAAATATGAAAAATTGTACAGAGTATTAATCAAATATACATTTGGAAGCCTGTAGGAGGCAGGTGAAGGATACCACAGAATTGGAATGGTTACAAGTTACCATACGTTTAATTGAGTAAATTGGAAAAGTATTAGAGACTGCACATGTGGGGAATTCTAGTGTCAGTCTGCCTGTGTGGCCACCAAAGCAGTAAACATTGGGAACCTCAGTGATGTAGAGAGCTGAGATTGCTCTTGTAAAAAACACGGTGCACTATAAACTTGGAGAGATAGCTTAATTGATACTTGGCTTTGGTTTATTTCAGTGTGTTTGGTGAAATTTTCCTCATACTTCAGCAATTACACCCTCATTTTGACATATTAATTGGGTCTTTAGTCTTACTGTGACAGATTTTCCTGCAGTACATCATATCAGTACTTCAGTTTAATTGTCTAGTGTGTAGATTTATGCTTTAGGTGTTGTAACACAAACTTTCTTCTGAAAAAGCGCACCTCAATAATGGTGATTAAAATGTCCATAATATGTGAATTACAGAAATATTGCTGAAGTCAAATAACAGAATGATTGCACCAATGTATCTTGGGGTTCCATCAGACAAAGCCTCATTTAAGTTTTACATTAGAAAATTTTATCTAGTAGTTGATTTGTGGATATAACTTCAAATTTCATAGTTACATAATCTTGAAACTGTTTAATTGGAAACTGGAGAATTCCTTAAAAGGGAGATAAATTGTGTCTTAAAATTTCTGAGTAATTATTGTAAAGTAGTATCTTTTATTAACACTAAGCAACCTAATCACATTTTAAACTATATTCACAAAAATTGAAAACTGGAAAATAACTGAAATTAGGCACTACATGTATAAGTTGTCCAAGCACACATACAAAGTCAAATTCATTTTTATTGTATCTTGCAACTTTTTGTGAAAATAACTTCGCATGTTATAAATTTTGAACATTTGAGAACTGCAACAGCAGCATTCTGTTGCTGACAGTAAAATGTCGGGACAAAAAAAGTATTCTGCCACATTCTAAAACATTTTGGGTTTACTTAAATGGAGATTGAAAATGCGCCAAACTTCTTTTTTTTACGGTTTTACCAAAAGTTCAGAGCTAAAAGAATGAAATTCGAAAATAGCAGCCTTTAATAGCAATTAAATATGGCAGAGATCTCAGCAGATAGTTCCAAGGTGGTTCCTCTTGTTGGAAGACTTTAAGTAATCAACATTGTCCTCAACTTTGTCATTGCTGCTGTGGCTTGTAGTACAAACATACCCAGTTATTAGCAGAGTTCACACAACAGTCCTCATTTTTTGATCCAGTAATGACAAACTAAGGAATCTAACCACACCTTAACCTCTTCTAACGTATTTCATCTGAATTATGCTGAACCTCTTGGTTTTATAAAAGTCTTGAAAGGCTGTACAGCTGGAAGTCTTGTCATTTAGAGAAATAATTTAAAATGAAAAATGTTTCCATGTACAGTTGTTATCAGCGGAGGATTTATTTAAGATGTGAATCATTTATGCCAATCTGTGTTGATTCAGGTACCTGTACAAATGTCAGCTTTAAAGAGAAATATGCTGTAATCCAAAAAAAAATTACAGATTACTGTCGGGTTCATCAGGTGCAAAGTCATTAGTGTGCACCATCCATGTTTTTAGAACACCTGCGCTCTGTTGAGCAAAAGACTCTAGATTTGTCATCTTAATGGATTAAATCCCAAGCTTTTCACAGTATCATTTTGTGAGAAAAGTATGTGCTGGTAATATGCAAACTTGCATCTTTTCGATTAAGGTTTGACATTCATATCAAATTAAGATAATTGAGTTAGTATGTTATATCATATTCAATTAGGCTTTTAGCTAATGTAAAGCTATATATGCTGCACAAAAAATTATGATGCAGTTAATGTTCAGTGCTATATCGCTAATAGGTACTGCAATTTGTGCACTGGTATTTATTTGGCATGATAAGATATCACTTGATAAATGTATGACAGTGATTGAGTAATTAGAACTGATGGTTAGGTTTAGAAGGGGGGAGGGAAGGTGGAAAATGGTAAGATGATGGAGAGGGAGGGAGGAGATGGTGGAAAATGGTCAGAGGAATGAGAAGAAAGGAAAGTGGAAAAAGGGCAGAGGATGAAAAGAGAGAGATGACATAGAGGGCAAAGTTCAAAGGAATGAGAGAAAGGGAAGGGAAGGTGGGAAAAGGTCAAAGGAATGAGTGGAAGGGAATGGAAGGAAAGGTAGGGAAAGGTCAAAGGAGTGAGAGGATGGGAAGGAAAGGTGGGAAAAGGTCAAAGGAATGAGGGATGAAGGGAAGGAAAGGTGGGATAGGTCAAAGGAATGAGGGATGAAGGGAAGGAAAGGTGGGATAGGTCAAAGGAGTGAGAGGATGGGAAGGAAAGGTGGGAAAAGGTCAAAGGAATGAGGGATGAAGGGAAGGAAAGGTGGGATAGGTCAAAGGAGTGAGAGGAAGGGAAGGAAAGGTGGGAAAAGGTCAAAGGAGTGAGAGGAAGGGAAGGGAAGGTGGGGAAAAGTCAAAGGAGTGAGGGATGAAGGGAAGGAAAGGTGGGATAGGTCAAAGGAGTGAGAGGAAGGGAAGGGAAGGGAAGGTGGGAAAAGGTCAAAGGAGTGAGGGGAAGGGAAGGTGGGGAAATGTCAAAGGAGTGAGAGGAAGGGAAGGGAAGGTGGGAAAAGGTCAAAGGAGTGAGAGGAAGGGAAGGGAAGGTGGGATAGGTCAAAGGAGTCAAAGGAGGGAGGGAGGTGGGAGGTCAAAGGGAAGGGAAGGTGGAAAAAGGTCAAAGGAGTGAGAGGAAGGGAAGGTTGGGAAATGTCAAAGGAGTGAGAGGAAGGGAAGGGAAGGTAGGAAAAGGTCAAAGGAGTGAGAGGAAGGGAAGGAAAGGTGGAGAAAGGTCAAAGGAGTGAGGGATGAAGGGAAGGGAAGGTGGGAAAATGTCATGGGTTGGAGAGGGAGGGAAAGGAAGGTGGGAGATAGTTAGATGATGGGTTTTGTTGACTTTTGTGTAATGAGAGGAGTTTGTTTTGTATTGAATTGAATGCTATTTTAAGGACAGCACATACTTCATGTTGCATATACAAAGATTACAGAGTAAGGTATCAGAAGTGGCCTGTAGTCCCAGGGAATAACACACTTTCCTTTCAAACATGTCACGTCAGTTCAATTCCAAGAATAGACGTGAATTTTTGTCATTGAATAGATTATTTGTAATTTGCAATTTCTGGTTGCCCACTGACGTGGAATTATTTAATTACAGATTGCGGAAGGAATGACGTACATGGAGAAAGAGAAATTTGTTCATCGGAATCTTGGCGCCAGAAACATACTAGTGGGAGACATGAATGTGGTAAAAATTGCTGGATTTGGGATGACCAAACTGGTGGATGACCCTGATTTCAACTTCAGGAGAGGTACACTAGTCGTTCTTTACTCTCTTTTAAACAACAGAGCTTTTCCTTGGGGATCTGTGGGGCCAAAATATGGGCCCCATTCCTGATTATATTTATTTCATAATATGGCCAAATATAAAATACAGTTTATTCCTTAAAACTTCCTCTCCAACTGATCAATTTTCTTCCAAAAATGAGATAAAAAGTCACTTTCCCAATTTTGTGAAAAAGGCCCAGAACAATGATTCTGGTAAATCCCATTGTGTTTATGATGAATGGTGTATCTTATCAGAGTGAACCACTTGTAGTAAAGATGAAATTCCAATCAGAAATTGGTTCTGTTTTATTTTAGTTTAATTTCTATAACCAAAAATTCTAACAGTGAAGAATATCAAGATGAAAGGTAATGGTAGTTCACTGTAGATTGATCAATGTTCTTCTTCATTGTAGGACTAAAAATGGCCATCAAATGGATGGCACCTGAGGTCCTCATGTGCAACAAATACAGCACAAAAGCTGATGTGTGGTCCTTTGGAATAGTGCTAATTGAAATATTCTCCTACGGCAAGGAGCCATACGAAGGTGAGTCACACTGTCATAGTGTGTTGTATCTGTTGTCTATTTAATTTGGCAGAAGAGCTAACTTTTTCATTGTGTGTAATTGTTAGGATTAATTTTTGGCCGGGTTGCACATAGGGCGGGGGGGGGAAAGGGTTACCAATGTTGTAGAATCAAGCCCTCCTAGAGTTTCTGACGTAGAAGCTTGAAACATTGTAGGATGTTTATATATATGTTGAAGATGTGCACCTCCTATTATGGATTCATTCCAGACATTTTTCTGGATTTTCCTGTCTTTGGAACTTAGTCATTTTCTGAAACTTTTCTTGTTATCACAGTTTCTTAGAAACTACAACAAGAATCTTTCCGAAATTCCACATATAAATCACCTTGAGCTGTAGATGTCCATTGTCTATTTTTTGAACATCTCCAAATCAAAAATGGCTGCAACTTCTTTCTTTAAATGCCCGTCTTCAGTACCAATTCATAAAATACAATCAAACTTTCTCTCTTATAACAAATATTCTACATACTCAGCAAATGAAACACCCTTAACTGTCTTATAAATACCATATGACATTGCACTGATGCCGCAACCCGCCCAATTGTGGCATTGCCCCATTTCTAACAACAGTAAAATGGGTTCGAACAAGAATAGGACAACTGGAAGTAGGTACTCAGCAATCATAAGCATAATCCTGTGTTTCAAGGTATAGGCTACCCAACTGATAGCTATGCTTATCGTTTCCTAGTCAGTACTAAAACAATATTGAGATATTTTTTCAAACTCATTGTTTGGACTTGTTGAATGACTTGGTGAGTCATGTTGACACCTTTAAAAGAAAGAAAAATAGGTTGATAAATTTACATTTCAATGGCACGCTGCTATAGGCTAAGGGAGGTAACTCAAGGACATTTTTTTTTTAATAAAACCTGGTGGCTTACAAATTAAGAAAAGAAAATGTTTTGCAGGCTGTTGCAATGTTAAAAAAAGAAGTTCTGTATTGTGAGACAACACATGAGAAAAGATAGATGTTTCAAAATTTCTTGTTTACCTTCCAGAAAAATTCTTACTGAAGATTTGAAAACCAATAAAAGACCAAAATGTTTAATGACACATATCCAATATGTTCTTTCCACAGGTTTGGGAAGTAAAGAAGCCTTTGACAATGTGCAGCATGGCTATCGAATACCTCGTCCTGAAGCATGCCCTCCTGCGGTGTATGATGTCATATTACAGTGTTGGAATGCAAACCCTCCTTCGCGACCTTCATTTGACTTTTTGAACACTTTTTTACATGACGCACAGTCCTCATGACCTGAAGATACAGCCTTGTGAGGAGTAAACAGTGTTTTGAGCAAAAACAGGGCATTTTCATCTTGTGCTACATATTCTAAAAATGTCAGAGGTTTCAGAGCAAACAAAGACTGACTACACAGGCAGATGATCTTTTAAAAAACTTTAGAGACCACTGGAAATGGTTACGTGTGCAGGACTTCTTCAGATCTTAACTGAAAAGTGATGATTGTTCATGGCATGAAGGCAGTTAAACTACACAAACAGATTTCAAAGTGCAATGGATTAATCTCTTAATGACAATGCTTTAAGTTTGTTATACTTCTGAGTATATCAGTGGAGTAAAACTTGTGTTCAGACAAACTCTTGTTATATTGTACCCCAGGGTTTGGATATTCATAATAACTGTATATCATTTACCCATTTCACTAAATATAATTTCATCTATGTTGCCATAACATACCTTTGGTCTGATCTTGTGAAAAACCTGTAAATATTTTGTCAAAAATCTTGAAAGTGATTGATTTCTTCTTATCAGAAGGTATTATGCAAACTATTTTCAAATCTAATATTTTTTTTTTTTTTTTTAAAGAATTTTCATGTTGGTTTTTATTGCACTTGTTTGACCCAGCGACATGACGAATGTGAATCTCGTACATATTGTAGCATTGACACTTCAGTTTTACACTTCAGATCCATAATAGTAAGGTCAAATGAAAGGCATCATGTTTTGTATAAGATGGTCTTTAACTTCACATGATACAGGGTTATACTGGGTATTGTAGATTAAGTGTTTTTACATGTATAAGGTACCTAACATATACCTCTGCTGGCTTTGTGAAGCCGACTGGGCAATTTTTTACCATTCATACACTTTTATTTTAAAATATATGACATACTTATCGAATGACCTGTTTACAATCAGATTGATATGGTTTTGTTTCACAATTTTAGAATTCCTATTTCGCTCTTGAGCCAATCCATTTGAGACTGTTTTATTGCAACAAAATGACCTTTATAATTAGGTTTAAAAATAGCAAAAGGTCAAAGCCAGTGTGTTATTTTTCATTTCTTTCAAATTTTCCGAATGTTGTTTCTTCATGAATTCTGTTGTACCTAAATATCATAGTTTGTTGTAGATCAATATGTAGTTGTGAGTCTTCATTAACATGGTTGGTCCATTTGGTCTAAATTAATTCCTGTATGCCTTATTGCAGAATTGGGTAATTCAAATTGGTTAGTATTTCATGACAAATTATCTTATATTAATCAATATATTTATTCAATTATAAAAGGAAAAAACCTGGTATTTATTGTTGTCATATTCTTCAAATTTTTACAAAACATCGGTGGTATGAATTATTTGAATACATGAAATGAAGTTCAGAAAAATATTTTTCTCACTTTTTATGGAAACAAGAAAACTTACATGAATTTGATGCAATAAGTCTGAATGAAATACCATTAGAATATGTGAGGTGAATAATTTTATTGCACACACTGAAGATTTTTTAGTGTTTAATTTTAACGTCCAGTCTCGTTTAATAAGTAATGAAATGGAGGATTTGATATCTGTCTCCGTGCTAAACGTTGTTAACTTTGCTGCCAGTGTTTTTGTTTTTTTTTCATTACTTTGTTGAAATTAAATCCATCCGAATGTGTTCATGAATAGTGGTATCCTCAGATCTGTTGATTTCACTACTTACATCAGATTTTCACATACATTGGGTTTACAGACATTACTACACTATAATTGGTTCTAATTGGTTCAAACATGCTACCAACAGAGCCTGGTGAAGTTATGAAATTGGCATCTTTGCTAGATGTACAGAAATTTTTGTATTGAATTAAGTCCTCCTGTTGGAGATGTAGTGGCTCCACAGCCTTTGTACTAGACCTATAAAGCTAGTTTTGCCCCAGTTGATGAGCCTAGGACCATTTGCCATTATGGACAGTGTTCCTGTATCTGTTCATGTATGTTAAAATTGTAGTTATATATTTTTTTGTACAAATGTAAATATGAACGTGAAACCCACCCAATCTTTTTTATTTTTTAATTTTCTTAATTCCTATGTTATTCTTCATTTTGACAAGGTGTACAATTAATAGTGTAAATTAATTAATTTTTAACGGGTTTGCCTCAATTTGGGATCAAATTTACCATAATAACTGTATGATCATATAAGAACTCTCCACATACCGCCCCAAGTTTTAATGAACATTTTCTTGAATGGTCGTTAATAATGTTCCCGAATGTTTCTCCTATTTTTTCCTTGAGAAATCTGCATTCTACATTTTAAATGAAGCATTTGATTTCAAAGTTGGTTAATATCCCACAAAGAAATGTAGGAAAGTGTTTCAGAAAGTACAATGAATGACCCCTTATATATGTTTTGTTGGTGGTTCAAAAGCACTAGTTACAGTCGCTGTAAATAATATACAGACTTGTAAACAAGATTGATAGTCTTTCATCAGAATTTTTTTTTTAAATGCACCAGAAGTAACTAATTAACATACGGATATGCTCATGAAACCATTTTCCTTCTCTTTTTTTTTCTTCTTCAGTTTTACGAATATGAAAATGGTACATGTATTTTTAATGATAAATTCAACATAATATCAAACAAAAAGATGTTTCTAAATGAGTTTGTTTAAAGTTTCTCATACAGATGAACTTGTAATGAAAGACTAACTTAAGAGATTACATTCCAACTGTCTACAATATCTAAGATAAAAGGTAATGGAAAATACTAAGCCAACACTTCAATCTTATTGACTTGGTTGATGAAAGATTTAAGAAATTCATAGGAAAGTGATAATTATTGCACGTGACATGAGACAACAATATCTGTTAATGAATTGCAATATACTGCGACACAAAAATGCTCGAAGTTTCCTTGTTGATGGTTGATGTCTGACCGTTTACACGGAACTTAGATATTGACTGCAATCAATTGATTAGTAATCAGAGGTACACACACATGGTTAAAAATGCTCTGACTAAATTGGCAGACCTTTAAAGCTCGACCCCTGGAAATAATTCTTCAAAAGTAAACAAATTAATTTTATTCTTCAAAAAATAAAAAATTTCCTGTGGTCTTAACATTTGTGAGTGTTGAAGGTGCTAGAGTCCTATTTGATACAGATGTGTTTTTATATATATATATTTACAGAGATGTTTCAGAGTCTCTTTTTATTTTGGACAATTAAACTTTGACTGTTTATTAAAGTCTAAGGCATGTTTCCGTATATTTAAGCTTTAAGATAAATGCTCTGAAAAAGTAACTGCAGTTTAATCACATTTTGTTGTTTGAAACATGAAGAATACAGAAGATTGACATCACTGTATTTTGTATTTATAATTTTACAACATGACAGTTTTATATAAAATTCAATATATGCATTCTTAATCAGCAATAAAAAGTTCTCTGATTGATACTTTTCATTCACTAAAACATTTTTTTTCACGATCTTTGATTTATGCATTTCAGTGTTTACTATATTAATACCATTTATAATGGAGAAGTTGATCATATCTAGGGTTTTCATTGAGTATCATGTGCTACTGTGCTGCCCCATAAATATTCACAAATGATTGTATATATATATGAAGTATAATCTTTATAATTTATGATAAAATCCTTATAATCACCTCGTTCATGTACTATAATCTACATTGTCACGTCACAGACTTGTATTTAAGGGGAAAAAACCTGATTAAGTGTTAACAATGTTGGAAGCTATTTGAATTGATCAAGATAGATATATTTTTCTGTGTACATACAGATTATCTATGTAAATATTTTAGCAGAAAGTAGTGAATGAAATGAATTCTTAGATATGTCTGCTGTTCAGAGTTGGTTTTTCTGCTATTTTTTTTTTTTTACACAATTTCTGATTCTAAGAAATAATCATCAGTGCATTTGAATTTGTGACAGTTCCATGCACTCGCAAACTCATGTTGCATTTCTTTCTGCTTTGGTGTTCATTTGAATTTACCTCTATATTCTGACACATGACTGCACAACAAGCCTTCCATCAGGGAAGTTTCACTAGTTTTGGTACCAAAACCATGGCCTGGATTTTCTTTTACAATTAGTGAAAATTTTTATTTCACACTGGATGAGAATACTTTTTGGCTACTAGAATTTTGAAAAATATTCTTAAATGTGTGCATGTAATGCAGAATTGTTTTCTTATTCACTGCTTTATTAAACAAAATTGCACCAAAACTATTTTCTTAGAGATACATGCTGTATCAGGGCTATCTCCAGAACAAGACTAAAATACAGTTTTGTTACCACAAATATGCAGTAATTCATCGAGAAATTAACTTAGTTTATAAACTTTTGACTTTCTTTACAATTTGCACAGATAATGCAGAACTGTTGATCTGTTGATTTAAAAATATTTGTTTGCATATAAATTAATCTCAGCTCTTGTGTCACTGATTGATACAGGGAAAGACCTACCATATATATATAAAAAAATTTGCACGGTATAGAGACGTTACAACTATTCCACAGTATGTTAATAAAAATTTCATATATTATTTTACTGTTTGATTAACAGACCAGATGACAGAATTGATAGATATTCTCGATGCCACAAATATTTGTATTTCAATAGAGAGTAGACTACATTCCTTCACTGAATAATCAATGCATGTTCAATCATAAAATCAGAGTTTTAGAACAGATTTTGCTTACAGTTGCTATTCGCAGCTTTTGTTACGCTTTATTTTATCAGTCATCCAGTTTACAAATATGTATGTAATGGTTGTGTGAACAACGTGATCGTTCATATATATATATATATATATTTACCAGGTGTTCTTTTGTAAAATCATCATAGTTCATTTTTATTCAGTATTGATTCAATATTTCATTAAACAAAGCACCTTCATCATACAATGTTCATTGTACAGAGACTTCACAAAGGGAAATAACTATTGAATGTATTTTTGTCACAAACTTTGGTCATGGCGATCCTAGCTCGTGCTAAATATGTTGAAATTATTATTACTATACCTATCATTATATCCACCTTTGTCCGGTTCTTGGTTGCATACTTAAGTCTTGCTGCAAAAGGTTAATTGTGCCATTTTTGTAGTGCTGATCTACCAATGAAAATGCTCATTACATAAATATTGGGGAATGCTTGTATTGGTCAGTAACAATTGATTTGATTGGAGCAGAGTGTTTACAATTCATTGCTCTGTGTGGAACAGAACGAAAATAAATATGTTGAAAAAAAGTCTATGTTCTTTGTCTTATCTTTCTTCAAATATTTTGTAAAATGGCAGAATTTTATAAAAATAATTGTTCTTGTTGAAGTCCAGAGAGAGTACATGTCATCTTACTGATCTCAGCTAGTTGGAAACTCTTTTGTAAAGTGGTAGAGAGTCTGTCGTGCAAGGTTGCTTATTAGTGCCCTAGCAGGGACAGGACATTTTAATTACATGTACTCTACAGGATCTGGGATATGCTGTAATATGGAGGTGGAAATTTTCCAAAAGCACGAGTATTCAGTCTTGCAAAAAATAACATATGCAGGTTAAAATCATGTATTTTATGTAATTTATTTTGAATAAACCATTCACTTTCAACAACATTCATATCAGACTGTGCTGCAACACTTGTAAACAATTTGTCAGAAAAAAATAACACTGCAGATTGTGACCAACTTAAGTTTCATCACAACAACCAGGCACTGTCCTGAAATTCAACAAGAATCTGATACAACATAATTACAAAGACTGTTAGAGTGCCGAGGCTGGTATCTTAATACTAGTTAATTGATTTATGCTCGACAGGAAATTCCGAAACTGTGCATTTTGAACTTTACATATATCAAGTCCAACATCCAGTACAAGTGTGTTTGTGTAAAGTGGAACAATTCCAAGCCACCTGCACCGTTTCAACTCGGTTACACAAATGCAGTCTTAGTGTTAGACCTTGTGTCCAAAACAAACACAGTTGATATGATTTTTGATCTCTAGGTTCAAGATATGCACAATTATCTGACCAGTGACAAATTACCCACTGATTAAACAGTGAGATAGATATTACTACATCAAGAAAATCAGTTTAAATCTTAAAAATTTGTACAACACAGACTCATTTATCATGTTCAACTTTAACTCATGTCTGCCAGAAAACCATTCATGAATAATGATACAATGTAATTGATTAAGTGATCCAATACCATATTTTTCTAGCAATAAGCCAAACCTATCTCTTTTTACAGTTTTATTGGAAATGCCAAAAAATAAACATGAATCATTGTCCTGTCATAAAACGGTCTCCCTACTAAAATGTTTTGGCAGTACTCGGTCAATCATCAACAATGGACAATTACTGACCTGTTTTCAGTTGAATACAAGGATTTATTTACCCTGGAAGTTGATACATGTATTTCCCAAGTCTCCGGTGAATAGGAGAGTTAATATTTTCTCTATTCACCTGTAAATAGGTCAATAATTGTTTTCTTATATGATGACAAACGTCGCTTGAACAGATTGTGCCCGTTTCATTGTAATATTGCAATATCTTCAAACCTATGAGGTGTTTGAAAAGTGAATGACGGTCATAAAATGATAGGATTTATGTGACATAAATTTAGACCCATGTATCAGACTAGGAAACAATTCACTTTAGAATAAAAGCTCTGTTTTTTTTAATGATAAAAGAAGTTCATAAGTGTATATGCCTCAATTCTGCAGATCTAAAATGAGGATTTTCTCAAGGATGAAACAGCCTGCTTACCTTCCAACTTGGTTGGAGTTTCTAATATAATTACTGTATACTTCTGGAAATGTCCAAACATCTGAACTTATTAATGAGGACACTTCACAACAATGTTTTGATGGTCTATTATTCTGATATGGAATACACTTAAAAACTTAACTAAAATTAAGGTTTCTGAATCTGGAGTTTCATTCTTTCAATCAATTAAAACCAGAAAATCCAGAGGAAACCTATCCCCTCCCCCAACACTGCCTGATTGACAACTGCAATTTCCCTGAGGATCTAAGGGAGAAGTCTGCAAGGTTTTAAAACATTACACACTTATCTTGAATCTATCAGAGGACTTGTCCTTGATGGAAGTGCTCTGCTTGTTATAATTCTGAGTTACCTGAATATACTGAAATGTCTTAAACTGTGGGCCAAAGGGAGTAAACAGATTCCTACAAAGGGAGTTCAAAGACTTCCACATTCATCAAGAAACAAGGAGATAATTATGCAGTACCTGAAAATTGAAAATTAGGAATTTTCCTAATACCTCCCACACTGAAACATATAGAGTGTAGATTTCTTTGGAATTTAGAACATTAACTAGTTCAACAAGAAGGACACCAATAGTTTTGTTAAGTAAATAATTGAAAAGAAAATAGGCTATAGATCTACTAAAAGAAAATTCAGATCTAAAATAATGAGTTTGATAGCACAGATTGCAAAACAGGCATACTCTCTCTGTAAATTTTGAAATACAGATACACTCTCTCTGTGTAAATACTGAAATACAGATTGATCTCTCTCCCTCAGTAAATACTGATATTCATGACACACGATTACTCTGCATCAACATTCACAGACACGTTGCACCATGTTTATTACAAAGTCAGTAGCGTTCCACTTTTACGAATGTGGGACAAATTATGCTGCATCATCACTACAGTCCTCCTGAAGATGAAATACCGGCAGGAAATGTATAGACATAATGCATTTAGCTGGCTTGTTTGTGACTTTGATAATGTCTGTTTCATATTCCAGTCATTATTATCATAATAACAGAGGCCACAACAGCATTTCACTCTGCCTTATTTGGCAGCAATAGTTAAGTCCAGTGAAAGTTGTGTCCCTGTCACCGCATAAAGATATCTGTATTTCTGAAACTTGAATTGTCTCTGAAAAAAAATTAAAAAAAAAAATTACTGAAATATATCAAAAATACTCTATGCTAAATGTATTCTTAAAATTCATACTATACTACATATTATCTGTAAAGTGCTTTCTGGTTGGAAATCACAATTAACTGAAACAGCTAATATGTATATCATGCATCGAAAAGGGTAGGCAAGGGTGAAAAATGACAAGAGATCCCACAGAAATCTTGGTTCTCACAATAATTCAATCTTTATTTGTTCTTTTCTATTCTCTCCTCTGCTCGATAAAGATCTATCAAATACTTCTAAAGAAGACAAACTCTCGTTATCAAAATCAAAGATGGCCTCCTGTTGGCTGCTATTTTTTATTTTGAAAGTGTAAAAATGGGGCAAATTACAACAAGGGAAACCTACATATGAACTTTCAGAATTATCCTTCCTGATCTTCTCCAGAGATAGTGATAACAAACTATTGGTTAAAATTCAAGATGGCCACCTGTTAGCCATTTTGTTTTAGAATCACTCCAAAAACGGCACTATGCAAAACTATGACCCACGGGGAATCGACAATTGTACATAAAGTACTTCTCCAGTAGGAGTGATAACAACCTAATACTATCAAATGAAAGATAGCCACCTGTCAGCCACAAATCAATCCCAGAATGGGACAATGCACAGATTAAGGGGAAATTGTGGAATTATCCATCTTATACTAACAAACTATTACTGTCAAAAAACAAAGATGGCTGCCTGTTAGTTTTGTCAGACTGGTTTGTGCTGATGTGGTCGTGTCCTTGGGCAAGGCACTTTACCCACAAGGTGACCTCAACCTCAAAATGACACTGGCTGCTCTAAGAAGATCCTGTATCAAAATGTTACTGACTGTTACCAGGACAACCCCTGCTTCAAAATGACAAGAGACACAAGAGACATGCCCCTCTCCACAAAATGACAGGCTGTTCACAGTAGACCCGCCTAAATGACACTGACTACCATAAATCACTTGTATTTTATGTCGGATTGATTTTCATGTTAATATGCAAGTGGAGAAAATTGTGTGCAATTATTTGTACAGAAATACTTGTTGATGACATCCACACTGATTTGGTTTCCAATATCTAACAGTCCATCATTCACAAATTTAAAGTCATTTCTAGACCACCATTCCTGAAATCATGTATTTGTGATGGATGTCTGAAGAGGTAAGTTTGCGAAATAAAGTATTCGTAAAAGCCAAGTGGTTTACAGTATTCACAAAAGACCCTCACCTCAAAATGACACAGGCTGTTTACATACAGGGCAATAAAATGATCGCATATGCTATCATACTTACTTCATACTGTCGTTATGTGTTTTGTATTCCATGATAGTGTTGGGTGGAAGGTTAAGGACACGTTTCAGAGTGTCACGGATCCTTGATGTCGTTACAGTGTCGCTAGCCGTACGATTCCATAACGCTAAAATATCTTCCTGGAAAAATATCACAGAGGTTCTCAGAAAGCTGGATAAGTTTTGAACCAAATCAAGCAAATACTATTATAAAAAGCCATGTATTGAAGGAAAATTACAGATCAAGATAGATGCTGGAGGTAGCTTATACATTGAATTTAAAACATGTGCATCTTGCACAGCACAAGAGGTAGTGGACAAATTTTTTTTCCCAATGTGAATGTTTCGCTGGTATTTTTGTTAGAGAAATATCAGGTTATAAATGTAATAATACTCGCCTGGTATCTAATAGAAATAACTGCCCCACAGATCTCCTCACCAACCATAAACTGCTCTCCTAACATAGCCAGTACTAAATTTTCCCAGCATCGAGATGCCAAGCCTTTCTTCAGCCGTACAATCCATTTTCCACCCTTGTTATTTGCAGTGTCCTGAAAAAAATTTTCAGTCACATTAAAACTTTCCTTGTCCAGATTCTTCTTACTAAACTTTTATTTTACCATCATTATCCAATACTAAATAAAAGTTTAAACAAAAATACATCATCACCAGATAGAGTATTCTGTACCACTGGTCAAGGTCACTTTGAGGAAGCTAGAAAAATCATTTGTTCTGAACAGTTTGTGATCTTGGCTTCCATTTGTTTTGTGTCTTTCATGATATTAAAGTCATATATACAAAATTAACAAAATTAAAAAACCCAATCAGCATTCTCTGCCTTTTTAAAAGATTTTTTAGGGCAGATAATTGGCCCCATTCCCAACTTAAATTATTTCATATTTAAGCCAAATTCCCAAAATTTACAACTTACACCTAAAATTCCCAATTCACCAATTTTCTCCCCAAAATGAAGCAAAAATGCCCCAATCCAAAACCGTGGATAAAATACATGATTATGGATACTGTAATTGTCCCAAATAATTTCTTTCTATCTATACCAACCTCCCACATAGGACGAATGCCTTCCTTGAATATGTGATAGTCACTGTGTCCAGTGAGGTCACTGGGTCGTACCAAGTGGCTGTAATGGTTCCACCATTGTTCTACCTGGAACAAAACCATGATATTATGTATAATTACTCTAACAAACAACTCACCAAATTATTCTCTGGCTGGCATCTTTAACTTTGCTGTCAGTTAGATTTTAAGCAATTGAAAGAAACCTTTTCAAAATTCAAGTTTCATACATTCAACCGTTTGTCTCTATTTTGGGTTTTTTAAATTTGACAGTGGATAAGTTCTGATTAGTTCATAACATAAACAAATATTTATACTACATCCTTGAGGATGATGTATTACAAAAGTGAATCAGAACAATGACAAGCTAGAACAGATGAAGAAGGAAATTTAACACATTGCTTTATAATCTACAATGCAGCAGGATATAACCATTATACATTCATATAACATTAGAACATGCAAAATTGAGTATTTCCAATAAGCATCTATAGTTCCATGTTTTTTGTTTGCTTTCAATGGTAATAATTGCTTACAGAAGCAAAAGTTGTGATAAGTTTGAGATTCTGATTATAACTGGTGGCTGATGACTGTTTCCCGGGAGATTTCCGTGAGAACCATACTGCATAGTTGAATTGTAATGGATGTTCTCCTGGTCCAGGCTTCTACAAGAAAAACAATACCATGAGCTCCATTACTTTCTTTGTATCAGATATTAATGTGTAACAGATACAGCTCAGACATTTCTCAACATTTTCAAAAAGGAACACAAGAAACACGGTTATTCGAACCATGACTTTTTTCTCTCCATTCTTCATAGTTTCTTCTTCATAAATCAAAAAGAGTACCATATCAATACCATTCAACCATCTGGAAATTTTCTGATGTACATCAAACTTAAAGAAATTTTGCTACAATGAATTGAATCTTTAGATCCCATTATTCCGATAGATGTTACTGTACACTGCATCTCTCCAGCAATAAGCCTATGCCTTGTAATAAGACCATCTACATTTATCCTTACATATCCTTTACTCCTGTTCAGTAATATCATAAACCAATTCTATTTCAGCATCTTGTAAGTCTAACTCAGTAAATCAGAATTTTACTGAAATCAGCAATTCATTATATAGATATACACTATCAATTGCATTACTTACTGGTGTGGGTCGGGGTCGTGGAGAAAGTTCGTCGTCTCTGTCTTCATATCTTTGATCGGGAGATTCATTTTCTTCTTCCCCGCTATCTTCTGTCTTTAATCTAAAGATGGAACATATAAATATTGGTGGTAAAAATATCAGAGTCAGTCAGTAAGTGGTGATGGCATCAACCCGAAATACCTTGTAACACATCATAAAATTAATAACTTGTGAGTAGAATTTGCAGTAAACATTTATAAACAAAATTGTGTCATATTTTTCATTCCAGATAGATTCTCTACTCCTGGCGACATTACATTATCTATGATTTTATTACTCTAGAGTGTTCATCAACAAAAAGTCAATGACTAAATGATGTATAACATAACAGGGTTTTCCATAAGAGCCGGCCGCCGGCCAATTTGACCGACTACTTTGATCATTTGGCCGCCTACACCAATCCAGTTCCATAATAATGTTCTGTACACGACTACACGTACACGGCAGGCCAGCCTCCTACTTTCACTACACAGCCTACTACTAACAAAATTATGGAAAACCCTGCATAACATGATAATCAATTATTTGGTCCTTTTATTGACGTATCTACAATTTACAATTGAAAACAATTTTTTGCAAATTTGCAAGGTACCAACTGGAATTAAGTCACATCATGAATTTATAGGGTTACCTTGAGAAATCCTGACGGAAATATAATGGTTGGGGAAAGATGGCTAATTAACTGAAACATGGACATTTTCAATTACGGTCTTGTACACATCGACACTTAATTACAAATATGTGATCTGTTAACTTATTTTAAACCATTTTCAAGTAATTTTTAACTGTGATACCATTTTCATACTTTTTTAAAAATTTTACTTCAATAAATAAATCAGAAAATATTATCATTACTTGTTATATAACATAGAATTGATTAAATGGAACAAGAATGTTACCAATAGGTCCTACTGTCGTAATAATTATGACAAATGAACCCTTGACCTTTTATATAAATGTATACTACTCAAAGGCAAAAATTAACATTTATCAAACCTGTTTTCCTGATTTTCGGGCTTCATGTTTGTCGGTGTTTGTTTAAAAGATTTTGATATACTGCGTCTCTATTTTAACGTCAACATATGTTGGGTTCTCCGCAACAAAAAAGGGCACATGTACGCCCGCTAGCCAAAGTTTGTGTCAAAGCTCACTTGCTAACCTACCACGTGTCTGTGCACATTTGCTTTAGATAACAATGCTATCCATTTCGTGGCTACACCGACCTAATTATTACAAATAATTGCGAAATATTGTGCATGCCGGTAAATCTTTGCATAATAAAAGTTTCTTCATGTTTGAAATATGTGCACATTTTTATAGCTTTTATTAAATAATAAATAAGTTCAATGATTAGCTACTAATAGTGTACCTGAAAATAATTTGACAGTGTTCACCTCAAAAGGGAAAGCAATTTGCGCGAAGTGACGTCACGTGTTCCCGAAAGTCACTCAACCGACAAGAATCGGAGAGATTGCCGACAAGCGCTCCCGAGATCTGAACATGTTACTTCGCAAATGGCTGCGATCCGTTTTTCTTATAACATGGTATTGTCTTGTTGAGGAAGAAAAATACCAATATACCCTGCACATGCCACCAACGATTGGAAATAAAGATGTTAAAGTGATATCTTACGCATCGAATTTGTTGTTCATTTTCTGTGTTTACTCCGGAACACCGTCCTCCCGTAAACTGCCGAATGTTAGCCTATCATTGATTGGTTGAATGGTGCTCACTTCCTTTACATTTTCATCATCTGAACCATGATTGGTTTCTCAAATTTGATGAAGCAAATATGGCGGCAATCAGCACAAAACAGAAGCTTCTGCAGCTTATTGAGGACACTGAAATAATATCTAAGTAAGATTATGACAGAAAATAATAAGTGGGTTTATTTGATAAGAGCAAACATGTATTTTCTATATCGGTTTTATCATTGTGTATTTGGTAAAGATGTTGATAACTGGCAAACACACCGAGTTTCAAGGGATGCTGATTTAGTGAAAAGGACTGGTGAAGTTTTACCGTCATCATAATGATGTAATAATAATAATAATAATAATTCTTAATTTTCAGAGAGTAACATGTGTACAAGTATGCTGATCTTCCACATGAACTTCCAAATGATAAATCATAAACAAATATTAACAATCAGTCGGATACCACTATATATCTATATACTATCTACCCCATTGACACATGTAATTTAAGATAAATAGTTACCATTGAGAAATATTCTGTTTGCTTGGCGATATGAATTTGGACATGTTCGATGCTCATTATAATACCTTTAGTTCATAATGGTATGCCATTCTATCGACTTTTATATGAAAAGTAAGTGTACACAGTGCCTATTTATGATATAGAAGAAAAGATGTAAATACGAACACCAATGTTAACCATTAGAGCTTTCATTCTTAATCTTCCAGAAATACTCGGGTTTGTAATATGTCTTTATATAGTAATATCCAAACAGTGAGAACAAATTATATTATTTATATGTATGCACATATATATACCATTTATTATGAGGTAATGCCAGTGATTACATTAATGCTGTATACAACTAGTTAAAATGATTAGGTCCATACCATTACATAAACCCTTTAGTCAGCCATTTGAGTATAACAAGATTTGACAATATATAAGTGAGATAATGCATGTAATATTAAAGTGACATTAAACTGATAATCCAACATTAATTAAAGTGTCCCATTCTGACAAATTTTCTACTCTTGGCAGGATTTTGAAATTTTATTTTTGTTCACCAATTTTGACAGGGAAATTTTTGAACTGATGAGCACGCCAAAACAACAACAGCGAGCTGATGCACCAGAGACACAAAAATTGATGGAACTTCTGGTCTTGAAAGATAAAGAAATAAAGGAAAACTTGAAAATAGGTATTTGTTTTGTAGTTTGTAAAAATTCACAAATTATATAAATTTGATTGATTTCATTATTCTATAAATACAGTAACTTACTTAGAATTGTTTCCTGCTACATCATAAACAATAAAGACATTATAGAATGCAATTTATGCCTAGATATTCACAATGGTGATAATGTGATTAAAATGTCAAAAGAATGTTTTTCATAAAATTAAAAAAAAAGCAGAGAGTGGGGGTGGTAGGGGAAAGGAGGTTGGTGTCAAATAAAAATAACTTGCACACAGACCTATCATTTGAATCACTTTACTGAATGTTTTCTGAACTATTTTTGATTGCCCTTTTATGTATGAAACAATGGATTAACTGTATTTGATATGCAAATGATAAAAAAGTGATGTGATTAAAATGTCAAATGAAGATTTTTCATAAAGTTAAAAAAAAAAAAAAAAACTCACAAGGAAGGAACAGAGGTTAATGTTAAATATAAATAAAAAAAACCTTGCATGCAGGCCTCTCATCTGAATTTGAACTATTTTAACTGCCCTTTCATGTGTAAAACAATGGGTTATTTGTATTTGATAGCTGCAGAACAGGCAGAGATACAGAAGACTGTTGATGAATTGAAAACGGAAGTGGACAAACGTGATGCAGATATAAGGAACCTCCAAAAAAATCTCAAAGAAGCAGAAACAATATTGGTGTGCTTTTATGTATTGTATACTTTTGAATTAGGCTCAACACAGAATATTTTTTGTTTCCTATTACCCTTTCAATCCTAATTTGTTGTGCATGCCATTTACATCTTATTACAATTTTGAAGGATTTTCAAACATCTAACAGGAAGCAAACATCTTGTATTCTTTGGCCTTTTTACCACACTTCTTATGTTGGTGTTACCCATAATTTCAGCCTTGAAGTCTTGAGAGTAGATGCATTTAATGTTTTCCTTGATTTGAATTCATACTGGGTAAACCTTAAACAAAGGTATTTTACACCATGTTTTATCAAATATGGCCAATTGTGGTGAGTCTTCAAGGCATTTGATCTTTTTTGACTCAATTCCTTTGAAAAAACAATAATTCTTCCTAATGGTGACAGAATTTTATATAAAACATATTTGTTGCTAACCTAGTTAAAATCTTGTTTATTTCTACATTGTTACAGTCTACAGCCATCTATCAAGCCAAACAGAAGTTAGAAGCCATAAGACAAGCCAACAGTAAGACAATAGCTTCAGAAGAGCTTATCAAGTTTGCACACAGGATTAGTGCCAGTAATGCTGTAGCTTCTCCACCGACTTGGACCCCTGGTAAGTGGAAAAAGTTAATGAACAGATTAGATTTGTTTAAGTACACCTCATTTCCCTCTCAACTGTCATATCTCTGAATACAGGTCCTTTATTGCTTCTGTAGCGTCCTGACAGAGTAAAAATACATAATACTGCTTGTTAGTCCCTTGTTAAGTGGCCTGAAAGGTAGTGCCAGGCACCCGCCATAATAACAAGTTTAGATAAAGTTAGTATGGGTCATTGAGAAATACAATTCAACACCAATCCTTAGTTGTTGAACTTCTCAATCTGTATTCAGAATCATCAACATACTCTTAGGGTAATCGTAACAGTTCATATGAACAACACGCACCATCACTCTAAGTGATAAAGGGTGAAATCCCTCTCTTACAATGCATTACAATTCAACAAAGCAGCTCCTAGGCATAACAAAACTGCATCCTCAAAACTAAACTCTCACCCTCTTTTTATAGTTAACCCGGTCAGGCAAATTCAACTCAAACGTGGTGTCATTCGTTGTGCATTGTAAACAATTTACATTTTCGACTCCTTCTCATAACCAAAAGGCCTAGGGCCAAGTTATTGGTCCAGTCTGCTGGGATGAAAGGCTACACAGTTTGTTCAAATGAATGGCCTTGACCTTCATCCAAGGTGGGTCAGATGTATAAAAGATCTTTTTAACAACTTTTTCTCAGAAATAAAATGACCCAGGGTCATGATATTGGGCCAGTAGCATGCTGGGATAAAAAGTTACCAAATTTGTGAAATTAATTAATTTTCAAAGTCACAGGGGTCAAATGTGTTGAAATCTTTAAATGACTCTTTTCAATAACCAAATGCTTCAGGGTCATATTTGGCCAGTAGCATGCTGGGATAAGGGCTATGATGTTTGTTCAAATAACTGATCTTGACTTTCATTCACAGGGTCTCAGGGGTCAAATATCTTAAATTACAACATCCGACTGTGTTTAATGTTCTGTTTAATGGAAAATTAAGCCTTCAAACTTAGAAACAATGAAAACTTTGCAAGTATGCATATTTCAGTTCTGTTTTGTCTGCCCCAATGCTGGGACTGATGGACAGGTTTTTGAACTGTCCAAAGATGTGAAGACCTCAGGTGACCGTTAAGGCTTATGGGCTTCTTGTTAGGTCATCTGAAGGTCAAGATGTCCTCTTGCAGTTGTGCAGCATGTTTCGTCGTGAGCCGTTCGTTGTTCATCAGCTGTAAACTTTCCCTTTAAAACACTACTCCTGCTTAAGGCCAGGGCAAATTTCAACCAAATTTGGCCTGAAACATCATTTGGGATGGGGGATCATTTCTTCAAGTTGACCGCCAGGAACCTGGGGATGGAATCCCAAAAGAGTAGTTAGACAATACTTTGCTGCAAAACCCTACTATTCTTTAATGCTTCAATGGAGTTCATTCAAATTTTGTCTGAAATATCAGCAGAAGTGGGCAATTAATTCCTAAATTCAGACAATTGATTTGACCCCAAGGGACATTGTGGCGGGCCCCAAATAGGGAATTTAGTCAATAAATTGCTTCGAAATGCTATATTTCCTTTATGCTTGAATGGATTTCGATAAAATTTGGTCTGAAACACAATTGAGGATGGAGAATATTTTCTTAAATTCAGAAAGTTTATTCGACCCCTAGAGCCAGGGCTCCAAAAGAGGAAGTAAATCTTATTGCCTGGATTGGCTTCAACCAAATTTGACCTGAAATATTATTAGGAAGTGTCAATGATATCAAACGTGCATGAAGAGAGTGATCTTGAGATTTTTTACTATTGGTAAATCTTTTTTATTTGGCTTTGGTCCAAATTCCAATACAACTCATCTTGAACAAACAGTCAGAACTACTTAAAGTTTCATTCACACCATTGACAAAAGTATTTGAAAGTTGATTTGTTAATAATAAGAAAGATATGATATGTTATTTTTTGAGCCCGGTCAAAACTTCAACAAGTCATTTTGTAACATGATTTCACAACTGTTTTTATGTACAGAACATACCAGATATGAGTTTCTTATACTGTAAGGAATGTTCAAAATTTGAATTCATCAGATTAGTGTGACCATCATCTGCAAATGCTGTGGTTCGTTTATCCGTTCATCGATTGACAGATGACGGTGAAGAGCCATCGCCCTCTTGTAACATAATCTTGTCTGATCTTATCGGAGCTTTTAGAGCAGTCAGGCAAATTGACCTACCGTAAATTTCCAAGTATAGTGCACACTTTTTTAATTACATGCATAAGGTTACACGTAAACAGTTAGCAATGAGATAAAGAGGATCGTGGGTGGTAAAGAGAGAGACAACATAAAGAAACCTCACAGTGGTGTAACATGGCATGGCTGTGAGACAATTAATACCTCTTGAACTACAGGGTAAGAAACTCAAGCAGGGTCACATGGACAATAAGTAGCCAAAAATCAAGGTAATACATATGGTGAAAGATAATGGATAAAACCTGCATTTAGTTCACACTGTCAAAATGTACATAAGTCAAACATATAAGATTATACTGTTAAAAATAAACCATAAAGAAAAATACTACACTTCATTTACATCCTTAATCATGCATGATCCTTGTCATTGTAATGTTTGTCCTCCAGAGCATGCCAAGAGTCTTTAGAAGCATAGAAATAGAAAAGGACCCCAACTATTTTCAAGAAGATCACCCAATCTATGAAGAAGGACCCCATTTATAGGATACCCTGTCCAGACCATGTACTCCTTATAAATCTTCCAGATATACTATTGAGAGTATTGGGTATTACACAACACATTCTTTTGTCATGTAAACATATATGTGAAGTATTACAGCTCTTTGCTGAAAACAGTATGTACAGCTTATCTAAGCAGCACTATGTATGTAAAAAAAAAAAAATTGAGTTGCTTTCCTTAGCAGAGATCTTTTTCTCCTTCAAGGTGATCCCAGGAGGCCTTACCCAACTGACTTTGAAATGAGGCTTGGATTCCTCGGGAAATGTAGTGGGGACTTGCCCATAAATGGACAGCAATTACAGTCACAGGGGTCATATGGAGAACCCATGTCCAGTAACCGGACATCTGCTGTATTAGGGGGTAAGATTTGATTTAACAAGTAAAACATGTTGATTAAAAGATTTTGAAATTCTTTTTTTACCGTCACATAATGTTAAATTTGAAATTGATAATGATAATTATGATTTTGTAGCTTTAGGTGTTATAATGTGTGGGATGATAGAACCACAAATGTAAAACTACTTAATCCCTTTCTGCTTTTGTTACACAGAACCAACATCTGCAAGCACACCTTCATCTGTATCATCTTGGCAACCAGCACCAGAGTTACACCATTCTTTATCGACAGGAAGTGGAGGTGCATCAGGTTTCTTGGCAGAGATTAAAGGACACAATAAAGAAAATGAAGATGTTGGCTTCATGTCTAGTGACTCTTCCAGTAGTTCATCAAGTGATGAATAAAGTGTGTATTTATTGTAGTAGTATTCATAGTGTTTTCAATCATTCTGGAGTCATTGACATGATGAAGTTGTGTATTATTGAATATCTGCTGTGAATTATATACGTAATTCTATACTTCAGACCTAGCCATCTTTATTTCATCATAAGGAATTGGACAGGATAAATTTGTCCACAGAGTGTACTGACCAGACTGGTGTCAGCTGGACTGTAGGAGAACCAAACTAATCATAACTAGGCTTCAAAGAAATTGTTCTACTTTCTTTTTCCGGGCAATGAACTGAGGTTCAGAAAAAAATAATTGTACAGATGAGGTTCAGGTAGACTGGATTGAAAAGATGAGGTTCAGGTAGACTGGATTGAAAAGATGAGGTTCAGGTAGACTGGATTGAAAAGATGAGGTTCTGGCAGACTGGATTGAAAAGATGAGGTTCTGGCAGACTGGATTGAAAAGATGAGGTTCAGGCAGACTGGATTGAAAAGATGAGGTTCAGGCAGACTGGTTTGGAAAGATTAGGATTTAGGCAGACTGGATTGAAAAGATCAGGTTTAGGCAGACTGGATTGAAAAGATCAGGTTCTGGCAGACTGGATTGAAAAGATGAGGTTCAGGCAGACTGGATTGAAAAGATGAGGTTCAGGCAGACTGTTTTGGAAAGATTAGGGTTTAGGCAGACTGGATTGAAAAGATGAGGTTCTGGCAGACTGGATTGAAAAGATGAGGTTCAGGCAGACTGGATTGAAAAGATGAGGTTCAGGCAGACTGGTTTGGAAAGATTAGGATTTAGGCAGACTGGATTGGAAAAGATCAGGTTTAGGCAGACTGGATTGAAAAGATCAGGTTTAGGCAGACTGGATTGAAAAGATCAGGTTCTGGCAGACTGGATTGAAAAGATCAGGTTCAGGCAGACTGGATTGAAAAGATGAGGTTCAGGCAGACTGGTTTGGAAAGATTAGGGTTTAGGCAGACTGGATTGAAAAGATCAGGTTTAGGCAGACTGGATTGAAAAGATCAGGTTCTGGCAGACTGGATTGAAAAGATCAGGTTTAGGCAGACTGGATTGAAAAGATCAGGTTTAGGCAGACTGGATTGAAAAGATTAGGTTTAGGCAGACTGGATTGAAAAGATGAGATTCAGGCAGACTTAATTGGTAAAGATGAGGTTCAGACAAACTTGATTGTAAAGATGAGGTTCAGACAGACATGAATGTAAAGATTTGGTTTAGACAGACTAATTAATTGGGAAAGATGAGGTACCAGTAAGACAACTTAATTGAACTGACAAGGTTCAGACAAACCTTGATTGAATATAATGAAAATAATATAATAAACAAAAATCTGTTTATTTCGATATTTATTTTACAAATTACCATAAACTGACAACAGGTAACAATATAACAATTTTGTTTGAAGTGGTCTTTTAGACAGATACATGGGTGATACATCTCATTTTTGCTACTCAAAGATTTCAATCTGCTTTGCAATGAGTATACAACAAATTGTAACCCTTGGTTACCGAAAATGCAACAACATAATTTTTACGTAACAGAACATTCTTTGTAAGAACTACATGAATGAATGACAAATACAGACAGAGTAATTAAATTAAATCTTCACAAACACAAACATCACTAAATTCTACAATAAAACAGATTGTTTGAACAGGTATTATCAATGGCAAGTTTATGGGATATCAGGTGTTATTCTAGAGATAAATATTCATAGATATAATTTTCCCTCAACCGTGAAAGTTAGAATCTGTCGTGGAAAATACAATCAAAATGAAAATCATTTAAGATAAGGAAAGGAGAATCTCTGCAAAAAACATCCAAGAAATTTTCAAACTATTCTAATCTCAGGGTTGGAGTAACTGGAGAAAATTGGTGAAGCAGAATTTTGCACTAGTTCCATTTCTTACATACTATAATACTAGTCGTGACAAGATGCTTTTGACAGGAACAGTTAGCATAATAGCATCCAATAATAAATAGTTTGTTCAATGGCTGCTTACCGTTAGGCGTGCTTTAACTAATAAGAGTATTGTAAGTTAAAACAATAGAAGCATATCCCATACCAACAAGAAATATGAATATTTCAAAACTGTTAACAATAATTGGTTATTAGAAAGTGTTAAAGATAGCAGTCAAAAACAAAGGAAGGGATCTTCAGACTAAATCAAAATGTCTATAGCTCTTTCAGAAACTGTTGAACTAAAATTCTATTTAAATTTTCAAAAATGAGAGTCAAATGCTGAAAAAAAAGTGCACAAATTCATGATTCTCATAGGAATGTGAAAATCTTTGGCAAAAAGTGGCAAATATTGTAAAACCAGTTCAAGTTGGATTGATTCAAGACCACCTGAGCAAACTATCCAAAGATTACTCACGGGAGTTCTGTTGATGAGGCTGGACAAGCAGTACATCACATGTGAATGTTGCTTCTGATTTATACTACAGCCATAAAATTGTACTAATAACTGAATCTTACAGCATGCCTATTTCTGGTAATAAACCCACACACATCTGTTGTAGGTCCTCTAACATTACTCACAAATTCTAATGCCTATTTCTGGTAATAAACCCACACACATCTGTTGTAGGTCCTCTAACATTACTCACAAATTCTAATGCCTATTTCTGGTAATAAACCCACACACATCTGTTGTAGGTCCTCTAACATCACTAACAAATTCTAATGCCTATTTCTGGTAATAAACCCACACACATCTGTTGTAGGTCCTCTAACATTACTCACAAATTCTAATGCCTATTTCTGGTAATAAACCTACACACATCTGTTGTAGGTCCTCTAACATTACTCACAAATTCTAATGCCTATTTCTGGTAATAAACCCACACACATCTGTTGTAGGTCCTCTAACATCACTAACAAATTCTAATGCCTATTTCTGGTAATAAACCCACACACATCTGTTGTAGGTCCTCTAACATTACTCACAAATTCTAATGCCTATTTCTGGTAATAAACCCACACACATCTGTTGTAGGTCCTCTAACATTACTCACAAATTCTAATGCCTATTTCTGGTAATAAACCCACACACATCTGTTGTAGGTCCTCTAACATTACTCACAAATTCTAATGACTATTTCTGGTAATAAACCTACACACATCTGTTGTAGGTCCTCTAACATTACTCACAAATTCTAATGCCTATTTCTGGTAATAAACCTACACACATCTGTTGTAGGTCCTCTAAAATTATTAACAATATTCTCCTATAATTCACACCATTTTTATCTATTAATACTGCTTCATCCTCTTGTAAGTATTATGTGCAGTGAGGATTTGGAACAGAACACACACTACATTAACAAGCACTATATTATCTCATAACTTACAAACAAAATGTGTTTCTATAAATAATCTGAAAACTCAAAAATTACCGATATATTTGATAAAACTCATTAATAACACTTTATACAATGTAACAAATCAAACAAGATCATACAATGTACTTTATACACAAAGTCATATATGTAATACAAATTTGAAAAAACACTGGGTATGTTTTGTATTTGTACAATAACGATACTTATTTATACAATTAATTTGTTCAATCAATTTGGTAAGATAGGTTATGAACACAAATTTGTATACAGCCATAACAGATTTATAGAATTTGATTAATACAATGCAATTAAACAAATCTTAAATTAGAAAAAACAAATCTGTACAATATGATTCACAAACAAATTTGTACAAAGTGATTCACAAACAATTTTGTATGATGTGATTCACAAACAAATTTGTACAAAGTGATTCACAAACAAATTTGTATGATGTGATTCACAAACAAATTTGTACAATGTGATTCACAAACAAATTTGTACAATGTGATTCACAAACAAATTTGTACAATGTGATTCACAAACAAATTTGTATGATGTGATTCACAAACAAATTTGTATCACAAACAAATTTGTATATGTGATTCACAAACAAATTTGACAAACACAAACAAAAAATTGATTCACAAACAAATTTGTATGATGTGATATATTGTGATTCACAAACAAAACAATGTGATTCACAAACAAATTTGTATGATGTGATTCACAAACAAATTTATACAATGTGATTCACAAACAAATTCACAAACAAGATTATACAATGATTCACAAACTTGTGATTACACAAAGTCAAATATATGTCACAAACAACAAATTTGATTCACAAACAAATTTGGTATGTTTTGTATTTGTACAATACAATGTGATTCACAAACAAATTTGTACAATGTGATTCACAAACAAATTTGTAAAGTGATTCACAAACAATCAATTTGTGATTCACAAACAAATTTGAAAGTGATTCACAAAATTTTGTACAATGTGATTCACAAACAATTTATATGAATTTGATTAATACAATGCAATTAAACAAATCTTAAAATGTGATTCACAAACAAATTTGTACAATGTGATTCACAAACAAATTTGTATGATGTGATTCACAAACAAATTTGTATGATGTGATTCACAAACAAATTTGTACCATGTGATTCACAAACAAATTTGTATGATGTGATTCACAAACAAATTTGTATGATGTGATTCACAAACAAATTTGTATGATGTGATTCACAAACAAATTTGTACAATGTGATTCACAAACAAATTTGTACAATGTGATTCACAAACAAATTTGTATGATGTGATTCACAAACAAATTTGTACAATGTGATTCACAAACAAATTTGTATGATGTGATTCACAAACAAATTTGTATGATGTGATTCACAAACAAATTTGTATGATGTGATTCACAAACAAATTTGTACGATGTGATTCACAAACAATTTGTACAATGTGATTCACAAACAATTTTGTACCTTGTGATTCACAAACAAATGTGATTCACAAACAAATTTGTACGATGTGATTCACAAACAATTTGTACAATGTGATTCACAAACAATTTTGTACCTTGTGATTCACAAACAAATTTGTACAATATGATTCACAAACAAATTTGTACCATGTGATTCACAAACAAAT